TTTACTTGTTTATTTTTTTATAGAACAAATCTCTTATTTTCCTTGTAGAATAGGCTATACAAAACATTTTGAGTGTATCTCTGGGCTTCTTGAAATTTCTTTTTTTTTCAACTATTATTTATAAAATGTCCTCTATGCACTGGGGGTGCAATGGAGAGGTGTCCTCCTGTCCTCATAGGAGTAAGGAAATTTAGGAAGATGAACAATAAGTGACAGGCGAGGGAAATCTGTTATTCGCGAAAAGTTAACCAAGGCTAATCATGAGTGGGGCAGCAAAGGTGTTTCTGAAAGAAGGAAATTTGAGCTATTTCTCAGAGGATAAGGAAAATGAGCCCATGCAGAGAAGGATTGAAAGCATGTTTCCGGACATGCTGAAAGGCCTGGAGGAAAGAGCAAACATGTCTTGTGGGAGGAAATGAAACCTTTGAACATGGCTGCAGCACAGAATGTAATACAGATAATGGCAAGAGATGAAGCTGAGAACCTTCTGTGAACAGCTGTGAACAGGTTAAATAAAGAAATTGGATTTTTATTATTGGCAACAGAATTGTTGATTGGTTTTAACCAAGGAATGGCATGATTGGGCTCTGATTTCTGAAGGGTTATGCTCCCTGCAGCATGGAAAAGAGAGGCAGAACACTGATGAAGTGGACATTAGGGATGGATCGCTGCCAGATAGAGCAAGAGTGGTTCGATGGCAAGTGGGGAGATTGGTGGCAGCTGGAGGTTGATTTCATGGGGTGGGAGTGGGAAAGAGAGAGGAAAGGGTCATACCCAGATTTCTGCCTTGGGACATGGGGTGAGATGCCACCCACTGAAATAGGGGCACTGGAGTCAGGGAAAAGGGAGGTAAAAGTTGGTAGGCCAATTATTTCCTTTGTGCCAGAGGCCCTTGAAAGAAATCCAAGTACAAATGCTCAGAAGGCAGATAAATATATAGGCCTTAATAAGGAAATTTTCCACATGCCCACTGCAGGACCCTGAGCCTGGAGGGTGCAGACAGCAAGCAGGTGTGGCCCAGATGAGAGAACTGAGTGACCACCCTGAGGAAACTGGTCAGAAGTATCAGAAAACCATCCTGATGGTGAAACTGTGGCTCTACTGCTTGGCTTTGGGGCTCAGCCATTAGCTGCAACCAGCTCCTCTATAACCAGGCAATCCAAATCAATTAGCCATGGATTATTTAAACCAAAAAATGACTGCAGTCTTCCTTATGAAGTTTTGTGGCCTTGCCCTTGGTCGGACAGTCTTCACTGGGGCTGCTCATTTTCATATGCTATGAATAAATCCCCAGTGTTTTAAATCAATTTTCTCTGTAGTTCAACTCTCACTGTGCCTCAGTCTCTCTTTTTTTCTTTTTGGTCTAGATCTCAAGAAAGTGGTCTGGCTAGAAAGAATAGAGTTAGGAGGCAAGCGGACTGCTGCATAGGAAATAAAATAGGAAAATGGCATAGGTTGTATGGCCCTTAGAGACTAACAAGGCACTTAGCCAGATGAGTGGTTCTGAGAAATCACGTGGGAAAAAGACACCTGTTTAATTACATTTAACCCAGCCTGTCTAAACCATTTGATCCTGAAACTTTTTTGGCCCCAAATAATCCCGTAAAATCCCACAGAACTAGTGTCTTTTAGAACATACTTTGATAAGTGATAGTTTAGGCATTTGGCATGAAGTAAGTTTATTGACACTCTCATGTGTATAAATACTTACATTTTATGTAAAAAATAATGTCAGCCAGGCTACACGATTTTTCTCAGTTATCTCCCCACTGAAGTAATCTCATGACTAAATGCCTTGCAAACCAAAGTACTATTACCATCCACCTGTTGTAAGCCCGCTATCCAGAAGGAACTAACAAGCCTTTAGAGTAGTATGTCTTTAAACGTGAAGGCACTTTGGGAACCTGAAGGCAGCTCCATACCATCTTCCTAGGGAGGGACAATTGCATATTTTTGTCTAACCATACAATCAAGAGATTCACAGACCCTAAGTCCCACGTGAAGAATTCCTGCTCTGCCAGGCACTAAAACAATTTACACCTATTTAATGGTAGCTGAAGTAACAGCATCCTTGAAGTCAAAAGCTCTTCACACTTGGAGTATATATGAAGCCCAATCTTTTTTTTTTTTTTTTTTTGGGACAGAGAGAGACAGAGCATGAATGGGGGAGGGGCAGAGAGAGGAGAATCGTGAACGGCTCCAGGCCTGGAGCCTCAGCCCAGAGCCTGACGGGCCTGAACTTCACGGACCGGCGAATGATCGACCTGGCTGGTCGACGACTAACTCATCATGACCACTCCAGGCTTCCAGGAAGCCCAATCTTTGATCGATAACTGGAGCCAATATCACCAATGCCACCGTCTTCCAGATTTCAGGTTAGCCTGTAGCTCTGCAGCTGGCAGCGGCTTCCCAACCAAATGTTGTTCTTTGCCAGATTGTTTGAAGCTGTTTTGTAATAAATCATTATAGATTTCCTTCTGAAATTCATGCTTTCAGTTATCGTATTTGACTTCCCTATCAAAAAAAAAGCTGAGTAATAGTGAAGGATTCTGAAGAGTTAAAGTGTTTATGGTGGAAAGAACAACAGACTTAGCACCAGGCTTTTTTTTCTCCTATAATCCATCATTAACAAGCTGTGTAATCTTGGAAAACGCACCCTACTTCTCTAGGCTTTAAACAGTTCAGTTATGAAATGAGCACAGTTATTGCTGACCTTTCTGTTTCACAATACTGCTGTGGACAAACCAATAAAATAGTGTTCATGAAAATACTTTGGAAACCATGAGGTTACACATAAATGTAAGAGGTGCTGATGGACATATCTGTAACTACTACAAATGACACTCAGTAATTATTCATAGTAGTTGTTGGTTCTAATTTTGTTGTGGGTAATCACCACATGGACAATGAGTCATATTTGAAGACAGCTTGAGTCCCTATTTCCCATGGAAGGTATCTGGCAGAATATCAGTTTCACTGTTCATGTGTGGAATATGGTCACCATCTCATTTATAACACTCCACCAGGTTGTTGCTATTTAATGTTATACTCCGACCCACAGATTAACTGTTTCCCACAATTTCTGCTTTACAAATTCAAGTAAATCAGTTTTTAAAAAATGACTTCTCTGGGGCCGCCTGGGTGGCTCCATTGGTTGAGCACGTGATTCTTGGTTTCAGCTCAGGTCATGATCTCACAGTTCATGATGGTGCTGATGGCACCGAGACTGTTTGGGATCGCCTGTCTCCCTCTGTCTGCCTCTCCCTCCCCTGAACCCCCCTCTCCCTCTCTCAAAAATAAATAAACATTGGGGTGCCTGGGTGGCTCAGTCGGTTAAGCGTCCGACTTCGGCTCAGGTCATGATCTCACAGTCTGTGGGTTCGAGCCCCGCATCAGGCTCTGTGCTGACAGCTCAGAGCCTGGAGCCTGTTTCCAATCCTGTGCCTCCCTCTCTCTCTGCCCCTCTCCCAGTCTCACTTTGTCTCACTCTGTCTCTCAAAAATAAATAAATATAAAAAAATTTTTTTAAATAAGTAAACATTAAAAAAAAACTTATCTGACTAAACACTTTATCTCTTGGGATTTATGTTAGTCTTGGAAGTGCCTTATTACTTGCATTAAAAGCATAGTCATTACACAAATAAAATTATAGTTTTAAGTTTTTAAAGAAATCAGTTAAAAATCACTTACACTATTAGTTACCTCCTTGAAGATGTAAGTAATAATAATGTCAATTCCCCTAGATTCTAGCCTCCCTTCAGCAATCTCGTGCCTGTCCTCCTGTTCAGCCTCCACAGCTCTGCTCAGGAGCTATGTCTAGGGCAGGAACAAACACATTTATATACTAACTGTGGCAGGGACTCACAGTCCCTACCATTTCCCACACTATTACCAAACCCTAGTGGCATCCAACAGATAGAAAGAAGAGAAAACAAACAATTCCATCTCGGCTTCGGAACCTCACAAGGCTAATTGGGGATAAGATTAAATGTATGTCAAAACCTGCTTGATATTAAGCTTGTACATATAGCAAAAGTTAGTATAACATCATTCGCATGATAGATAAGCCATATTGAGGAGCCTACCTAAAAAAGGTATGTGCTGAAGAATTCAAACAGAGAAGCCTACATTTAAAAGTAGAAATTTGGGACTATGACTAGATTCAGTCAATCCACTCATTGTATTAACGTTATCTAAAATTCTTCATTTATAAATAAATCAACAACCACTGAATATAGGGTGGTTTAAATAAATTAATAATATATACATACCAGACATGGTCCCTGCCTGCATGGCATTTATAATTAAGCAGGAGAGAAAACAAAAAAGAAAGCAAAGTAATATGTAACTACACCTTAGGGTGACTTCAGTGAAGGGTGTACTGAGAAAAAAAAATAAAAAAATAGGTAATAAGGGGTAGGGCCCTTGCCTCCTCTTGACTGGATGACCAGAGACTGCCTATCTGAGGACATACTGAAGCTCAGAATTGAAAGGAAGTCTAGGAAGAGAAAGGAGTGACTCCAAAAGCCTAAAGACGTGAAGGGGATGGCATGTCATAACAACTATGGAAAGACTTGAGTCAGAATCCAGTGAAGAACAGAATGTTAGATAAGTTTCATCAAATATTGATCAACCTGGTAAAATGTTACATTTCAGTCTAAAGGCACAGGAAAGCTTTTGAAGGGTTTTAGGCACGAGAGTTAATGGATCAGATTAGCTATTTAAGGTCAAGAGGCAAGAACAGAAAGATTAGTTGATTGGCTACTACAACAGAACAGGCAAGAAATGCTGGTTGTTTGGACGATGGTGGTGGCAGCAGAGAAGAGAAATGGATATTTGAGATGTATTTAGGAGGTAGAATGGAAAGGGTTTGGTGGTAGATTGGAAATTGGGGGTGAGGCAGTGGGAGGAATCAAGGATGGCCCCTAAGTGTCTGGCTTGAGCAGGTGGACAGGTGGGGACTAAGTGCCAGACCCTGTTCAAGGTCAAAGATAACTCACCAGGTGCCCAAGCATCACTCTCTGCCTTGGGCTGTAAAAGTGGATGCACTACTTTGATTCCACCAGGTGGTACAAATGATGGATTGAGGTTGATTCTAACCATATCCTTCCCAGTGTGTTTGTTAGCTATCCAAATTGTCTTCTTTTTCCATGTTGAATAGAAGATACGATCACCAAAAAGGGACATTGCAAACAAACTGTGCCTTAAAAAAAAAACAAAAAACAGAAAAAAAAAACCATAAATAATAGCAGAACACTTCTTCCTGGGCTTATTAACATTTCACTTCATTTCAGTGTATTGACTAAATTTTAATTACCTACCTTTCCAATTGTTTCTCCTTTAGGTTTAGAAGCAGATGTTAAATTTAAAATTTTATTTATGTAGTCATAATCTGAATTAATGGGATATGATTTCTAGCTTAAACTTCATTGTCTCATTCTTTTGCTAATCAGCACTTAAGTGTGATGAAAATAAAACAAAGAAGAAAATAGGAATTGTGTAAGAGTGCATTCTGGTTGTATCCATTTCACACTTGACTAATTTCTGCCTCTTACCACAAGCAGGAGAGTCAGTTACAGGCAAGACAGTAAATCAAATGAAACATAGGTGCTTCACAAATACATGACATAGTAATTCAAAAAACAAAAACAAAAACAAAACAAAACTGTAACCAACATGTGAGAACTTACCAGATGCCAAAACTCTGTTAATTATTTTTATTTGCATTTCTTTACTTAATTAATTTTACTAAATTTCACAATAATCCCAAAAAATAGCTACTGCAATTATCCTCATGTTAAAGGAAACTGAGAAGTCATGCAACCTTCCTATAAGTGGTTAATCTTTTATTATATTATAGGACATTATTATATTATAGGACATTATCCTAATATAGGATATCATTTTCTTATATTATAGGACAAGTCACTTGTCCTATAAATGGTAAATCTAGGACTGGTTCTCAAGTCTTTTGGACGCCCCAGTCTGTGCTAAACCACTGGACAAACTTCAAACAGCAATTGTTTTTTACGCCAAAAGCACAACTTACTGCGTAAGGTGTTTGTTAAAATGTACAGAACCTCCATCATAATTACAGGAACAAATATAAGAATTGCTTCCATCTCTATTGTTCTGAATCCAAAAAAGCCGTTTATCAAGCACATCCAGTGACACAGCGGTTATTCTTTCTGACGTCTCTAACAGAATCTTCACTTCCACACCATTGAGATCTGCTCTGTGGAGTCTGCCAGCCACCTCTGAAGACCAAAATATAAACCTGAGAGCAAGCACATTACATAGACACATAACTGAATGTAAAGTCATTTAAATGGCCAACTCTTTCAGTGTTTCAGATGCCCCCAGGATGAGTGTGACTATTTTGAATGAAATTACAATTCAACAAACATTTACTGCCCTGCTGTGGAAATTCCATGTGATTTCAAGTTAAAAAAGCAATTGTGCTTGCACAGCAGCAAATCACGGTACTCAAAAGCACTATTTGTACAGGGAGCCTGCCTTGGTTCAAATTCAGGCCACTTTCTCAATGAGAAGGTCCTTTTGAGTTCAAAATACTATGATTCCAGGAACTACCATCAGAGTTTTGAAATACATTTCAGTGTCTGAAAACAGCAGTTACCTTTCTACTGGATCAATTGCTACATTTGCAGGATATTTTAAGGCGCTTAAGAGAACACGGGAATTGTTTCCTTTCATGTCTGTTACTGTAATGATTCCTTCCTGTTGATTTGACCAAATAAGTTCTTCATTTATCCAATTTATTGCCATTCCTGAAACATTTTTCTCTATATTGCATACTGTCTGTAAAATCAAATTTCAAAATATTAATATTTTCTCATTCACATAACCATTGTTTTCATCTTTATGTATAAAAATCTATTCTTTTAGGTACCTGTCATTTTTGTGCACTCACAAGATCTTAACATATGGCACAGTTAGGGTGCCATTGTTTTGACAGAGCAATGTTAACCCTACCACATGAATATTTCTGGGCATAGGATTTATACATTAGTTTTAAAGTGGAAAACTATCCTATGCTTATTGAAATTAGGCAATCAACTATAATGTACTAATAATTTCAACCATAATAACAGTGGAATTTCCAAGATATTTTAAAGACACTTTATCCATTTGCTAATGGAATTTTCCATATCCTCACCTGAACCCAATTCTAAGCTCTGTGAGATTCTAAAGATGTGCTTGACATTTGTGCACAGAACTTTAAAATAAATGAATTTCTTGGGGCGCCTGGGTGGCTCAGTCGGTTGGGCGTCTGACTTCGGCTCAGGTCATGATCTCACTCAGGTCATGATCTCACGGTTTGTGAGTTCAAGCCCTGAGGTAGGCTCTGTGCTGACAGCTGGGAGCCTGGAGGCTGTTTCTGATTCTGTCTCCCTCTCTCTGTGCCCCTCCCCCGCTCACACTCTGTCTCTCTGTCTCTCTCTCTCTCTCTCTCTGTCTCTCTCTCAAAAATAACCATTAAAAAAATTTTTTAATAAAATGAATTTCTCATTAGAGTCCCACTTTCATGGCCCCTCCTCTTCCATCAGGCCCCTCCCTTTCTATAGGTCCTCAGTGCCCTCATACTATGACCCTATGGCCCAAAGTGAGGGCTTCTCTTTATACCCTTGGGTAGGAGAGCCTCCTGCTCTCTCATGGTAAAAATGACCAAACAAAAATGTCTGTTATCTCCTAATTCCAGGGCATGCAGGTAAACCAGTTAGTCTTCCTAGGGGGTGGAGGGAGGGGGGTGGGGAGAAGCCCTGGTATGTGAGGTTGCAGGTTTCCTTGGCTTGTAAATATTGCCACCATCGCTGATTTCCAGCCACTGACATGACTTGACTGAACTTGGAATGGGCAGAGATCAAAAATCTCACGAGCTTGTACTGTTCCTATACCTCACACAAAGTAATCTAGCCAATCCACTTAACCAGTTGCTAGTATCTTAATATATTAGCTTACCCAGGTAAATTGTATTTTAACAGGTGTCCTTTTTAAATAATGTTTTAATCCAAAGAAGGGAAAACAATGGTGGATTTTAGGCATCAGGTCAATCCTCTCCTAATGACTTGACACAAAGTCACAACTGTTTAATTTTTTTTCCTAGTCTGTGACAGGAAACCCTCCAGATTCTGAGACTCAGGATTTTGAAACTGTTCTTCTACGGATAGTTGGAGAATATTGAGTAGTCAGCCTTGCTAAAGGTGACATTAGTAAGTATCAGAGACGTGATAAAAGAGATTAGCACTTAATTGAAGCTTTTAAGAATAACTGGAGGGAGAAAGGTTTGGTTTAAAGAAAAACAAACAAAACAATGAGCACTTTGTGCTGGGAATAAATGCTTAAGGTTTCTCCAGTCACATGTCTCTATAATCCACCTCTCAGGAATTGAGAGAACATTCCTCCTGCGACTCATTTAAGGGCTCCATCAGTTAGGGAAAAAGACTAAAGATCTTTTGTATGTACTTGAAGCAAAATACTCCATATCTGACACCTGCTTTCTTGTTTTTTTTCCACAGTGCAAACACCTTAAGAATCAAAAAAGGTTTTCCTCCTAAATATCAGGTACTAAAACCCATGACAGACATTTAGACAAAACAGGTTCCCAACTCCAGCACAACTGACATTTGGGGCCAGATAATGCCTTGTTGTGGGGGCCATCCTGTATATTGTAGCATGTTTTGTAGCATCCCTGGCCTCTACCCACTAGATGCTACTACCTCATTCTCCCGCTTTCCCAATCCAGATGTGAACACCAAAAATGTTTCCAGGCACTGCCAAATATCCCGAGTGGCAAAATTGCCCTCAGCTGAGAACCACTGGAAGCAATCATGTAAATAATCTGTACTTAATGAACTTACGTATTTTCAAAATTACATTCACATCCTATTCCTTTGGGGGGCTTCTGAATATCAGTGCCATGTTTATGGACTTATTTAGTAACACACCACAGATACAGATTAAATAAATATCTCTGAGGTGCCTGGGTGGCTCAGTCAGTTAAGCGTCCCACTCTTGCTTTAGCTCAGTTCGTGATCTCATGGTTCATGAGTTGGAGCCTTGCCTCAGGCTGTGCACCAACAGCATGGGGCCTGCCTGGCATTCTCTCTCTCCTCCCTCTCTCTTCCCCTCTCTCTCTCTCTCTCCTTCAAAATAAATAAATGAGGTTTTTTTAAAAAATTTTTTTTAACGTTTATTTATTTTTGAGACAGGGAGAGACAGAGCATGAATGGGGGAGGGTCAGAGAGAGAGAGGGATACACAGAATCTGAAACAGGCTCCAGGCTCTGAGCTGTCAGCACAGAGCCCGACGCAGGACTTGAACTCACGGACCGCGAGATCATGACCTGAGCCGAAGCCAGACGCCTAACTGACTGAGCCACCCAGGTGCCCCGGAATGAGCTTTAAAATAAATAAAGAAACATCCACAAATGCCAGAAACATTTGAATTGGAATGTAATTTTCACTCATCTATACATTGCAAATTAACTATATCATGTTTGTCAGCCTATACAGAAATCCCTCAAATGCTTCGGGAAATGTACTTTACCTCTTGCCTTGTCCCATTCAGAAAAACTCTTTGCAAAAGTTGCCGTTCTAGATCTACCCAATAGAGTCTTTCCTTATAGTAATGAAAATCCATGATCACTGATACACCAGCATCAGCCACCAACTGCTCATAATTAGTTCCATCCAGGTCAATCCTAAAGATACTGCCTCCATGGGAGAAAATTAAGAAGGGTTCAGGACCTGTGTGGGAAGAAAGACATTTTCAGGATTTTTATCTGATTTAGATAAAGTATTTTCCCATGACAGCTAATACAAGTAGACTTAATTCTTAATTACTGTTTTTATATTTTATTTATTTTTATATTTACTTATTTTAGAGAGAGACACAGAGTGTGATGGGGGGGGGCAGGGCAGAGAGAGAGGGAGACACAGACTCTGAAGCAGGCCCCAGGCTCTGAGCTGTCAGCACAGAGCCTGATGTAGGGCTTGAACTCACAAACTATGAGATCATGACCTGAGCTGAAGTCAGATGCTTAACCGACTGAGCCACCCAAGTGCCCCTGGTTTTGTATTTTAAATGAAGACAGTTGTATAGAGAACAAGTTCCTGTAGATATTCCTACTTAATTTTATAAATCGCCTTCTTCACAAATTGATTGTACAAAATGAACATTGCCAATTATGAAAAAAAGAACTACTTGAAGAGAAAACCACTTTCTACTCTGATCTACAAAATGCCCTTTTATGTTAAAAAAGAAACCACCTGTTTTCTATTGTGGATAGGGTCTATATGAAGGTAACTTTTAATTATGTAAATTGGAAATAATATTACAGATATTATCATTTTGGAAATGGAGCCCACCTCCTCTTCTTACCTAATGAACAGAAAGAACTTTGGAGTAATGACATAGAAGATGATGGAAAGAAGAGGTCTTAAGTGGAAACAGGAAAAACTGAAATGCCAGCCTGTGAAAGCTCTGAGATGCTTTGTCTCTCTTTGCATCGCCACATAAAACCCAGCATGCCCAGTTAAATCTGAATTGCATGTATGTTGCATGGGACATACTTACACTAAAAAAAATTATTTCACGTTTATCTGAAATTCAAATTTAACTAGTTGCCCTATATTTTTATCTGCTAAATTTGAGTGGTAGACTGCACTGGAGTTTTGATTGCTGCAGGGCCTTGCCCAGGGCCCTAACCCTATCATCTCCTGTTCCAGGTGATGCCACCTTCCCTCTCAGACTCCCAAGTATCCAACACCTGCTTTGGGAACCTGATACCTTTCTTTGGAAACCTCAGCACATATTGACTGACTCTGCACAGAGCTTGCCTTTGATGCTTCAAGATAATGCCAGAGAATAGCTTCGTCTCCTGCAGCCAGATTAGTCGCCTTGGTCTCTTCTGCCTGAGCGTGAGAAGGCTCCTTCAGCCCTGCCTTTAGATAAGTCTGGGACCTCTGGGATGAGTGGGGGATTGGAGATGAATGCTAACATATTCTTCCTTCTCCGCGAGGTTCACATTATTCTCACATATTATTCACATTGCATCCACACTAGACTTTAATACCTTAATGTGACATAGTGAACATGTTCATTGTTCTAAACATTAAACAGAATGAGGGGCACCTGGGTAGCTCAGTCGGTTAAGCGTCTGATTTCAGCTCAGGTCATATTCTCACGGTCCATGAGTTCGAGCCCCGTGTTGGGCTCTGTGCTGACAGCTCAGACCCTGGAGCCTGCTTCAGATTCTGTGTCTCCCTCTCTCTCTGCCCCTCCCCTGCTCATGTTCTGTCTGTCTCTGTCTCAAAAAATAAATAAAAACATTAAAAAAAAGAAGATTAAACGTAATGATGGATTAACATCCTCTTACTCAGGAATTATGTTCTAAGGTCAGAGAACATTAACTCCACCTTAGAGGACATCAGAATAGATACAAGAGGAAGGAAGGGGTGCAAGATCATGAGAGTTTGAAATTGGTGCTGGCATGAATGTCTAGGAGAATTAGCTCAAATCACTCTTCCCATATCTTTCCCACAACAGAAGACTCCTGCACAGACACAGAGGACAGTCCATTTCCTATTGCCACTCTAGCTGTGGAACCAGAAGTATCATAGAAGAAATGGGAAGAGGGCACTGGACTGAGAGCCAGGAGACCTTGTTTCTAGTCCTGGCGCCATAACTTCCCTGCACAGGACCTCACTGCTACATCAGAGGATTATTGAGGAAAGAAATGAAATTTTATATGGGAAAGTATTTTATTAATTATGGAACACTACACAAATATAATTTGCACTGCCGATTCCCACAACCAAGGTCTCACTATATAGGTTTGTGCCACTGTTCAGGTTTGAACCCCTGGATGAGAACGCTGGTGTAACTCCTCTATCCCACAGCAATGTGTCCTGGAGGAAAAGAAGTCATATAGCAAAAGGCACCCTAAGCTCATAGCTACTGGTCTGTGGGCCTGTAGATTTATTGCTAGGAGTCCTCTTTTTGAAATGTGTATCATGTACTCTCTATAAATTGAACAAATGCACCCAATACGTATTATTAATTTTCTTATGTGCTGATACTTGATACATGAATGATACATTTATTCATTCAATAAAACTTATTTTTTTTATTTATATATGAAATTTATTGTCAAATTGGTTTCCATACAACACCCAGTGCTCATCCCAAAAGGTGCCCTCCTCAGTACCCGTCACCCACCCTCTCCTCCCTCCCACCCCCCATCAACCGTTAGTTTGTTCTCAGTTCTCAACAGTCTCTTATGCTTTGGCTCTCTCCCACTCTAACCTCTTTTTTTTTT